TTACAAGCAGTATATTCAGCATAGATCAAGACAAAGAAAAACATGTCTGCTCTCCTTCATGTCTAAGAGCAGGAAGCATGAGGCAAAAGCTATACACAAACGGAAGTTCCCATGTAAACAGAAATGTAAACAGAAACATGACAGACAATAGCTCCACACATCAGTTTAGGTGGAAAGGAACATCAATATCCTAACACAATCATGGTAGAAAAAGGAATAATTTGAGGAAGATTGTTCAAAGAAAAAACTGTAATTTACTCTTTATTGTGGGGGTGTTAGGTTCCCAGGTGTTGCAGGGGGCGCTGTTGAGCTCTGTGAAAATATATGAGGTTGGTCACATTGAGGTATTTTTTGAATTTCCAGGCAGATATGATGATCCCACAGAGAGCCTTACCAAGAGAGGCCACGATCCCACGATTCTCCTCCATGACGTCTTTATGCAGAGCTCTCTGGTCAGGATCCAGCAACGCCCACTCCTCCTCCGTGAAATGAACAACGACATCTTCAAAGCACACTGGACCCTAAAAGAAACTGGAAATGTTCTCCTCTGAGACAGAAATATGACCTGCTACACAATGTCCTGTTGTGTTCTTCCTGTTAATTGTGGTGTTGTTTCAATAGGATTGCTTTGCTGCACATTATAAATATGGATGCTTATTTTATTCTGCGTTTTAATTATGGGTGTTCATCTTTGTGCAAATAGGTGGTACTCAAGCATTCCAGTTTGCCTGATGGAAGGGTCCACTTTCTCCTCTCCTCCTGAGCTGTTCTGGGGAGTTCCCTCCCAATGCCCTAGAGCCAAATTCCAGGAGTTCATGGGGGCATGGAGAGGGGGAGGAATGGGGGGCAGGCCCCATTTTGCAGCCAATAGGGCTGGTTAGGTGAATCCAGGCCACTATTTGTTCTCATTTGTCCACTGCTTAGAAACCAATCTGAGCATTCAGTGATCAATCTAGAAATCAAATAAGCCTCTGTTGGATGTCCATCTGTCTTGGATGATCTAGCAGATATTTCTGCATTGCAGGGGTCTACTGGCTCTGAGAGACAAGCAGGGAGGGTGGCTTCTGGCAAAAGGAGAGGGAGCCACCGGTGGCTCCTCCTCCTCCTGACTCACCTCTGCCTCCCGACCTTCCTCTCCAACTTGCCTCCTTCCTCTTCTGCCTCTCATTCTGCATTGCATTCTGCCACAGAGTCTCCCAGCTCACAAAGCCCTGTAACCCCTTCAGCTTCTGACACCTCCTCTTCCCAGGCTTCTCCCTCTTCCCCCTCTGACCGCCAGTCCTTCTTCTACCTCCACTTCTTGGGCTCTCAGCCATCTTCCTTCCTGGTTCCCCAGCTGCTTCCTCCCACCATTCCTCTGTGCCCAACTAGTCCATGACATTGCTCCATCCCTCAGCCTCTGTCCCCACAAAGCAGCTTCCCCTGACCTGATCTGGTTCCACAGCCGCTGCTTCCCTTCTGCCCCCACGAAAAGACGGATCAGGAGGTCTTGCTGGCATCCTTCTGTCACCTGCAAGAGACAAAAGGTAAACAGGACGCCAGGAGTGTCTGCTTCTCTCACAGGTGAAACAGGGCATCTCTAAAATGCAGATGGGCCTTTGAGAAAGCCTTACCTGCTGAGAGCATTTGGACATTTGTGCCCATTTCATATGTTAGTTGTGCAGAAATACATCTCCCCTCCTCTGGACCCTTCTTCCCAACTGTCTCCCCGCAAAACAAGATGAAAAGAACCCTCAGATGAGTTGGAAAACCAACAGAATGAGACCAAACGGAGAAAAACCACCTTCCTCCTTACCCAGTGGCCTCTCTCTGGTGTCCAACGGAGGCCTCTCTGCCTCACAGGAATCCAGGTCCATTTCTGCAAAGAGATCCTTTCCCTGAGAAAGAAACAAGGATTCAAAACAGAGAATGGTGAGAAATATTAGAAAGAGAATGACAAAGACTTGAAGGGTGTGAGATCTCATTCCATGGATGCTTTCCCAGAAAAAGGACGGGCCATCAGCAGAGCATTATGGGATGTTCTCTGTCCTGTTTGGAGCCCCTTGGGAGTATCCAGAGGAAAGTCTCTCTCACCTGCTTTCTCTCCTCCGCCTGATTCAGGAGGAAACCTTCGGCCAGGGCCACCGCCTGGGAACTGGTCTCCGCTCCGCATTCCCTCACCCAGCTCTCCATCTCCGGGGGAAGGACAGCCAGGAACTGCTCCAAGATCACCAGGTCCAGCATCTCAGCTTTCGTGTGCCTTTCTGGCTTCAGCCACTGATGGTCAAGGTGGTAGAGTCGGCTGCAAACCTCTCGGGGTCCTTTGGCCTCCTGGCAGCAGAACTGCCTCAACTGCTGGCTCTGCACCTCTGAGCAGAGAGTGTCCTCCTCACCCATGATCTTGTGCACTGGGTTTTCCCAGAATCCCCCACTGCTCCCAGTTTGGCTGGCATGGCCTCTTCCTGTTCCAGGGCCAGCTGAATCTTGCTCATCCATCTGTGCTCTCAGGAAGCCTTTGAGAGATCGGAAGGAACCCTTTGGTCTTCTGACAAGTTCTGACGGCTTAATGAGAAGCTCTAGCAAATCCTACAAAGCAAATACATTGTTCATTGTTCTGTTACAGAATTTGTAGGCGGGGGGGGGGGACGAGGTAGGATGGTTCCCTGAGCAAGCATGGATGAGTCTTGCTGGGAACCAGGACAGGATTGCACAGCATCCCAGACCATGAGCTATCTTTTTGAAAAGAAAGAGCAGTAAGAGGAGAATAACTAAGTCTCTAGCCTTCTAGCCACGCAAAATGTGGAGGCAACTGAAGGGATTTCTGGGAGATTAATCAACCTGGTTTCTGCAGCCTTCCAGTCAATCCATTAAGTCAGAACCAACAGACAAGAGAATCATTTGTATCTTGTGAAAAATGGATGCTTGGCTCTAGTGGGGGTCCTCACCCGGGGGTCCTCACGAGTTGCTCCCCACCCCCACCCCCACTCCCCTGCTTCTTTCTACTTTTCTTGCACTTGGACTCTCTGCCGCTCTCCAGACAGACTCCTGGGGTGGGGTCCCTTTTTCTTTGCTCTGAGGGCCAGGTATGTATCTGATCAATCCCCTAAGGTCCAAGTGGGCAGGGCCAAAGACATCTCCCTTGAAATTTAGGCGGGTAATTTATTATTATTATTTCGCTAGATAACTTAACACACACACAACCATTGATGCCAAGGTCCCTGCAGGTTCAGTGAGTAGCGGCGCCCATTTCCGGCTGCTTTGCCAGCAACAATCGCTTTGGCACAGAGAGGATGTGGTCCTGGGATGCCATGCTCTGGGTGCGAGGGGAATGCTGCAGTGGCCTCAGTGGGGAGCTGCCCTGGGAGACGACTGGGAAACTGGTTTGCAATGCAGCAGCCAGACTATGGACTGGGATCCCTCTCTTTGTTCCTGGCCTTTCTCTCCCACCTTTCCTTCCTTCCTTCCTCCACGTGGGGTGTTCTTTTTTTGGGGGGGGGGGCTAGTCCACCTCCTCGTCCAGCTTTGGAAAACCATTTGCACATGTTTCCTCTGTTGCGCAATGAGGCTGAGCGATGTCACACAGAATTAAAGTCCCAGGGACTCCTTTGTTTAAAGAAGGGAGATATTTTCAGACGGGGGGGGGCGGAGGGCCAGATGAGTTTGGGATCCTCTGATCTCCAGGAAGGAGAGCGTGGCAGACCTGGCCCCTCCCGGATCAGGCCCCCCAGGCATCCTCCCCTGCTGCAGCCCTGGCCCCCCCGTCTCCCCACTGCACCCTCTGGGGGGAGAGAGAGGAGACTCACCAGATCCCAGGAGGGGACAGCGAGGCAGCCCTTGCAGGAGAGACCCCAAAGCAAGGAAAGGACTGGGGAGGGAGGGGCCTTGGCTCTGGAGGACCTGGCCCCCTCTTGCTTCCTGACCTCTCTAGGAAGGCAGCTCACTTCCCTTTAACCCTTGCCAAGCCGAGTCCCTCCAGCTCAGCCCTCTCTCGCTTGGCAGAACCTCAGATTCTTATTATTTTTTATGCATTTAGGGGGGCAGCTGCCCCCCTGGCTACGCCCATGCCCAGATATCCTTTTGGGGGTGAGGCTCTTGGCTGGACTCTGAGCATCTCCCTCCCTTGGCCAGAAACCAGAGGAAGAGCTTGCAGGGAAAATGGCTTTGCAGGAGGCAAGGAAGCTCCTCCTAGAATTCAGGAGTGGAGAGATAGGAGGGGATCCCAGGGTCATCTAGTCCAACCCCCAGCAAGGCAGGAATCTCAGCTAAAGCATCCATGGCAGATGGCCGTCCGATCTCTGCTTAGAAACCTCCAAGGAAGGAGAGTCCACCACCTCCCAAGGGAGACCTTTCCCCTGCCCAACTGCTCTTAGATGTCCCTCAAGGCAGCGGGTCCTGAGTTCCAGCCCTGCTGAAACAATCGCACTGGCTGCCAAGGATGAACCAAGCGAATTTCAAAATAAATTAATCCTAGTCTCATCATAAATGAGTAATACTTTCTTATGCATGCTTTTTATGCTAATATACAAAAGTATGCCATTTCCCTTTCCAGATATGCTTAATTGCTAATTCAATGGACTGAAAATGGATTGTTGTTATTTTTATGTTTAGGGAAGCTTTTAATATTTGATGGGACTATTGTATTTTAATATTTTGTTGGAAATCGCCCAGAGTGGCTGGGGAAACCCAACCAGATGGGCAGCGTATAAATAAATTATTATTATTATTATTATTATTATTATTATTATTATTATTATTGATCAGGTGAGTGTTCTCCTTTCGAAAGAGGCAGGTGGAATTTATATGGTTGCTAATAGCATAACCTTGAAAGACTAGTGAAATATGGGGAGCCCTAGAGCTGAAAATGGATGGTTGCTGTTATTATGTTTTGGGAAGCTTTTAATATTGGATGGACTATTGTATTTTGATATTTTCCTAGAAGCTGCCTAGAGTGGCAGGGGAAACCCAGCCAGATGGACGGGGTATAAATATATTATTATTATTATTATTATTATTATTATTATTATTAGATTAAATTGATCAGGTGAGTTTTCTCCTTTCAAAAGAGGCAGGTGGAATCTCCACGGTGGCTAATAGAATAACGTTGAAAGGCTAGTGAAATATGGGGAGCCCTAGAGCATCTGCTTGACATGCAGAATGTCCCAGTCAGTGTAGACCAGGGGTCCTCAAACTATGTCCTGCACGGCCATTTCAGAACCCGCCAAGTGTCCAAGGCTGAAAGCATTTTGCCGCCCACTCAGTCAGTCCCCGCACTGCACTGAGGTAAACGCCACAAGCGTGGTGGCGGCTCTACCAATGGAAGGCCAGGGGGTTTCGCCCGGGGACGGGGAAGTGTTGTCTTTTGGCTTGAAGAGCAAAGTTGAGGTTGGTGGAGGAAGGCAGACTTGACTTGGATCAATTTGGTTTTGTTACGTAAAGGTTTACTTTAAAGGTGGGAGAAGGAAGTATAGTCCTATTTTTGTGCATGGAGCAGCGGTATTTCCACTCATGTGGTTTACATGCTCTGAAAGCTGGGATCTGTTTTGATATTTAAATTTTTAAAGGGTGGAATGGAACCAGATATTGGCCACCTTCTTAGCCTGGGGCAGGGGTCAGCAACCTTTTTCAGCCATGGGCAGTCAACCGTCCCTCAGACCATGTAGGGAGCCAGACTATATTTTTTTTGGGGGGGGGGTTGAACGAATTCCTATGCACCACAAATAACCCAGAGAGGCATTTTAAATAAAAGGACACAATCTACTCATGTAAATACACACTGATTCCCGAATTGTCCGCGAGCCGGATTGAGAAGGTGATTGGGCCGGATCTGGCCCCCAGGCCTTAGTTTGCCTACCCCTGGCCTGAGCAGCCACATTATGGTTATAGGAGGCCAGGATTGGCCCCCAAGGCTTGGAATGTCTCTCCTCCCCTGCAGTAGGAACTTGGAATCCAGGAGAAAACTCTTGGAATAGCCTTGCCAGGTGCTCAGGGACGGACTCACCTGTCCCCATGTCCTTCTCTTTGCAGATGTGCGGTTGCACATCCCTCCCCCAGGAGGGAGTATTGGAGAGAACCAGAGCAGGGACTCAGACCTGCCCTCCTTGCCCCCCACTCTGCACTCTCGGATGTGGAGAAGCCCTCCCTTCATGAGGAACTGACTTTTGCCTTTCAGCTGCTGGAGGAAGATCAGCTGTACCTGCCGGAGGTGATCCAGAACTGCCAGGCAGCTCAGCTCAGGGGGCTCTGAACCCTGAAGTGCTCCAAGCAGGAGACAGCCAAAGCCATCCTGGTGAGTGATGGGAGGTGTGGGGGACCCCCATGGGGAAGTGGGGAGGGAGGGGCTTTGGAGAAGGGGTTGTCCGTCTGCCAGAGAGGAGGACCCTACTGGCCTAGGTTCACGTATCCCGTTTGAAAGGGGAATCATCTGAGGGACTTCCTGTAAACATCTGGGTCAGGAATGCTGTTCCTGGAATGGACAAACACACAAGACGTAACCGGCTCTGCATTCACATAAACAATACTCTTCTATATATTCTGATCATAATATCAAAGGTTTAGCTTGCACATAAACAACACATAAAGTGCAATAATATAGACGGAAGTCCCCAATAAATCAGTTCATTCATAAAGACCAAATGTCTGCTAGTTTCTGTTCCACATACGTTCATAAAGTCCAAATTGGAGCCTATTACAGTTCCACAGTGTTGACAAGGATTTCCGGAATAATGCCTTGTTTCGCTCTCATGGGCTTAATCCATTGTACATATTCTAAGTAATATAAATGAATACAGTGTTGTAATTCAACATATTTTAACAAATTAACAAACCTGTGTATGGATAAAGTTTGTTTTGCATTTGTTGTTTTAAAGGGGTCACTTAAAGAAGAAAACCTTACAGCTGCAGATTTCTCTCACCTGTAACTAAAATCAATGCTGTGCCTGTCTATATACATTGTAAGAGTTGTTGTTCACTGAAGAAACCACTATGTTAAAAGTTCTATTATCTTGATACTTCATATATGGTATGTACTTTTACAGGACAATTGTTTATATAATTTTAATTTGTTAAATGATCTACTGGTCGATCCACAACTCTGGTCACTGCTCCCTGAGAAAAGCTCAAGAACTCTGGGCAAAGACAATGGGTAGATCACTGGCAGGATTTTTATTACTGGGAGTAGATCTCAGTCTCTTGGAAGTTCTGGCATTGTGGCCATTTCAAGGTACTAGCACAACTTTAATTGCCACTCATCTTTTGTTGATATTAACTCATTTTCCAGTATTTTGCTATTAGCATCCTAGCCGCTGTTGTTGTGTAAAGAAACACTCTTTTATTTTCATTTGGTATGCTTATTGTTAGAATATCAAATAGGAAAGCTTTGGTTTTCTTTAAAATAAATAGCATTTATTTTATTTTCCCTTTGGGGACATGTCCACCACTTGTGGAATAAGGTTTCCTTCATTTTGTCTGCATCTCCAACACTTACTCCTGATATTTATTTATTTTGACTGATTTGGATGGGGTCAGGTACCATCTAAAAATCAGATAGCACGTGGTGAATTTTATGTCTTTTCCCATAATTTCCCCCATTTTTCATCTTGATTGGATAGCCACAATTGTGTGCCCATTTCACAATCACCTCCTTCACCTCCTAGTCCTTAAGGTTCCAGTCCAGTAACAATCTGTGTGGTTTTGATAATATATTTGTATTATTTAATATTTAATAATAACTTTTTAAAAGATCTGCTATCTTTGTGTCAAGTCCATTTATTTCTTATCTGGAAAAAAATGTTTAACTGGTAATCTATCTTTTTTACTTTTGTTTTCTTTTTATATTTTTTCTTTTTTGTATTTTTAGCATATAATAACAGTAGTAAATACCGTTATATGGAAATGTGATCCCAATATTGAAATGAATAAAATGATTAACTTTCTAAGATAATCATAGTGTAATGAATAAAATGCCTGCAGCTTCCCAAGAAAACTCAAGGAGATTCTCCCCTTTTGGGCTTTTACCTCTTCCCTTTATAACTGTGTCTTTAAGTCCCAAAAGTCCTGCCCCCCCCCTTACAGGATATCCCTTCTACAGATGTCAACGCAGACCTTGTCACCACAAGACTATTCATTACCTGCAGCAGCAACAACAAAAGACACCAGAGTGGCCGCAGCTATCTCTTTCCAAAGGCTATAGATTGACGGGGGGGGGGGCTGACAAAGGGGGGGAGTTGAATTGCAAGCACATTCTCTCACCTTTTAAACCTCAAGACTCTGTGCCCCAGGATTGAAAAGATACAGTGGTGCCCCGCAAGACGAATGCCTCGCAAGACAGAAAACTCGCTAGACGAAAGAGTTTTCCGTTTTGGAGGTGCTTCGCAAAATGAATCTCCTATGGGCTTGCTTCGCAAGACGACAATGTCTTGCAAGTTCCTGGTTTCCCCCCCCCTTCCCCCAAGCTGCTAAGCCGCTTATCAGCTGATCCGATCAGCAGATAAGCTGCTAAAAGCAGCTAAAAGCCGCTAATAGCGCTAATCCTTCAATGGGCTTGCTTCGCAAGACAAAAAAAACCGCTAGACGAAGAGAATCACAGAACGGATTCTTTTCGTCTTGCGAGGCACCACTGTATGTAAAAGATCACAATTGCCTCAAGATAGGCAATTAATATTTAATTAGTATGTGGTGTATTGTGTGATATTATGTAGGAATGCTAACATATGTCTGACAGTATGTTATCTCCACAAAGGGGGGGACCCAATTTTTGTGTATAATTGCCTTTATGCTCAATGTATAGTGTCTTATTGCCTACACCCCAATGGAGGATTCTCATGCATTTTAAGCTTTCAAATAGATCAGGCTATTGCGTAGTCCATAGCTGTCAACTTACAGATTTGAAAATAAGGGACCAGCAGCCTTGAAAATAAGGGACCAGCAGCCAAAATAAGGGAACTGCAGCCTCACCTGTTCCAGGCACTCCAGTCTTCCTGTCCTCCTGCAGTCTGATCAAACTCGTGCTGGTAGCTTCGAGAACACTGTCCAGCCAACTTTGTAACCAGAGGTTCAACTGAATAGAATCTGAATCACATGGACCACAAGGCCTATGCAGCCTCAACTTAAGATGGCTCCCCGGCCTGGCTTTGCACTGCAAAGTTTGCAGCAGCACGTGCAACAAAATGGCGTCCAGCATTCAAAAAACCCCTCAGCTTGCATTAACTAGCCACACACAAGGCATGCAAGCTCCACCCCCCAGTCATTCTTAGACTCCTTATTGGGTGAGCAACACAGCCAAGCAACACAGTTGGAGCCTCCCTCCTCCCTGGCCAGCAGGGAGGGAGGGAGAGGAGCTGCTTCCTTTGAAATTTAAGGGACATCATTTAAGGGACATCCATCAATAAGGGACAGCAGCGGGACATGGCGCTGGAATAAGGGACTGTCCCTTCAAATAAGGGACACTTGACAGCTATGGCGTAGTCCAGTATTTAGATTAGATCAATTTAAGTGGTTAAAATGAATGTTCTGCCAAAAATGCTATTCCTCTTTCAATCAGTCCCAGTAATTGTGAAAGATGAATGTTTCAAAAAATGGCAGAAAGAAATTTCCAAGTTTATTGGGGGAAGGGGCTAAAGTCCAAGGATAAAACACAAGATACTTACAGACATAAAAGACAGAGGTGGTTTTGCCCTCCCAGATCTTTCATTATATTATGAAGCTGCATGCCTGGTATGGATTAGGGACTGGGTGAAGTTGGAAAAGCAAGAAGCATTAGAATTAGAAGGACATGACAATAAATTTGGCTGGCACGCATATTTATGGCATGGGAAAGGGAAGGTACATAAAAGTTTTTATAACCATATAATTAGGAAATCACTAATGAGCATATGGGAGAGATACAGTGGTGCCCCAGGTTAAGTACTTAATTCTTTCCGAAGGTCCGTTCTTAACCTGAAACTGTTTTTAACCTGAAGCACCACTTTAGCTAATGGGGCCTCCTCCTGCTGCTGCGTCCCTGGAGCCTGATTTCTGTTCTTATCCTGAAGCAAAGTTCTTAACCTGATGCACTATTTCTGGGTTAGCGGACTGTGTAACCTGAAGCGTATATAACCTGAAGCTTATGTAACTCAAGGTACCACTGTATAAAGATTTGTTAGAACAGCAGCCCCCTTGGTGGCTTTCACCACATTAAGCTTTACTGCTCAAACCACTTGAAAAGAAAGGAAAGTGGCTTACGTATGCTGACTTATTAAAAGGATCAAGAGGGAAAATGGAAACGAAGAGATTACGAGGAAATAAAAGATCACTTTCAGAGTTGGTTATGCTATCGGCAACTACATGAAATATACAAAGAAGACAATAAGAAAGGATTTAGCTACACAACATCTAGATTTCAAAAGGAAGTCGTAGAAGGGAAAGGGAAGTTGCTGCAAGGTGCATATAGTATTCTGCTAGAATGGGAAACAAAAGATGAAGAGGTGAAATCATGATTAAATGGGCACAAGATGTAGGTCATAATATAATGTTTGAAGATTGGGAAAGATTGTGGAAAACTGATTTAAAATTTAAAGACTGCTCTTTGCTGAAAGAAAATTACATGAAAATGATGTATAGATGGTATATATCACCAGTGCAGTTAGGAAGAATCTATAAAACCGACTCAAATATATGTTGGAAGTGTAAGGAAAAAGAAGGGACTTTTTACCATATGTGGTGGGATTGTAATAAAATTAAAAAATTCTGGGAAATGATATACAATGAGTTGAAGAAAATGTTCCAATTAACTTTGTAAAAAAAGCCTGAAGCATTATTGTTAGGGATTGTAGGGAAAAAGAAGAAGAAATGCACCTTGGGCTTCTTGCCGTGCAGCAGAAAATAGGGCGTGTCCCCTACTACAGAACCGTAAGAAAGCTTCAGAGTGAAGGACGCAGATTTCCACGCTTCCACCCATAACTGCTGGGGCAACCCTGTGTCAAAGAGCATGGCTTCGGTTGCCTCCTGCAGCGTTCTCTACCTGCATTCTGCAACTCCATTCTCCTGAGGAGAATTTGCTACAGTCAACCTGTGGCGTATGCCTTTTTGGCAGAAGAAGTTCTGCAACGCAGACCTGGTGAACTCTCCACCGCGATCTGATTGAAAGCTCTTGACCCGCAGTGAGAACTGTAGTTATACTGCCATTATCCAGTCTTTCACCAAAGCAGCGGCCTCTCACTTGTACTTTAGAGAGAAAATCCACCCATTTCTGGAATAATCATCCACCAGAGATAGAACAAATTTGGCCCCGCCCAGACTGGCAACTGACATAGGGCCGCAAAGGTCTGCATGGACTAGCTCAAAAGGTTTTGTGGTTACCTTGTCAGACCTAGGATAAGAGCACGTCTGAACCTTGGCTTTCTTGAAGGCACCCTTCATTCCAGATATTTGTCACATGCCTTCATCTTGCACCCCTCAATGCACCCTGGGACCTTCTTCACGTACCCCCAGTTGACATGTGACATTCTCTGGTGCCAAACACTATGATGTCCACCATCATGGATGGGAACGTTAGCACACTGTGCTTGTGCATCCTCAGTGGGACCTTTATCTGCAATAGGCATTTCTAGCACAAACAGCCTGTCTTTGCACTCAACACTGAGCAGTTGTCGCCCACCTCTGGAAATGGAATAAACATTATTTTCAAAACACACTTTGAACCCATCATGGACAAGAGAGGAAACAGAAAGCAAACAGCACTGCAGCTCTGGAACGACATAGGCCTCAATCTCTGCCTATAAAAAAGAACAATAAACAGAGCCAGACCTAGTTAGTTGGCACTTGGAACCATCTGCAAGATTTACACTTCCAGTTTTCACAACCTTGCAGTTCCACAAAAAAACACTAGATGGTGATGGCATGAGGTGGTGACTAGCCCCACTGTCAATCACCCAGCTCAGCCCATTTTTACCGCTTTCTGCCTGTAATGCGTATAATGGCAGCAACTTTTTAAAAAATATTTTGAGCCCGTAGTTCAATTTCCCAGCAGCTCCCCTTGCCCCAGGAATGCTTCTAGCATTCCATCTCCTCTACTTGTGGCATTGTTCAGCAGTGGGAAAAGTGACCTCTTCACTCCAGATGTCCATTTGGTATGGCCCTTTCCAGGTTTTTGCCTGTTCATTGTGTTCGTCTTTCATTTGTTCCCCTATGTGTGTTGCCAGTAGAAGCCACAATTCTGTGGGTACTCTAGGCGGTGCAGAAAGTTGGCAGCAATTCCCTACACCCACAGGTCTCAGGATGGTTAAAACATAAAAAACAAACAAAAAAACACACACAAAACACCACATTTTAAATGGGCATTAAATGTCAATCAGCCAAAGGACTGGTTAAAAAAGTGTGGATTTGCCTGGCTCCTAAATCTGTATAATAGTTTTTCCAACCTTTGTATGGATTCTTTGATGGGAAGTGAGATTCTGACTGTGACTGAAGCTCTTTCCACATTCCACACACTGATATGGTTTCTCCCCTGTATGAATTCTTTGATGTGAAGTGAGACTGTGGCTGTTACTGAAGCTCTTTCGACATTCCACACACTGATAGGGTTTCGCCCCTGTATGAATTCTTTGATGGGAAGTGAGATCGGAACTCTTCCTGAAGCTCTTTCCACATTCCACACACTGATAGGGTTTCTCCCCTGTATGAATTCTTTGATGGGAAGTGAGAGAGGAGCTATGAGTGAAGCTCTTTCCACATTCCTCACACTGATAGGGTTTCTCCCCTGTATGAATTCTTTGATGGGAAGTGAGACTGTGGTTGCGACTGAAGCTCTTTCCACATTCCACACACTGATAGGGTTTCTCCCCTGTATGAATTCGCTTATGGGAAGTGAGATCGGAGCTCTGACTGAAGCTCTTTCCACATTCCTCACACTGATAGGGTTTCTCCCCTGTATGAATTCTTTGATGTGAAGTGAGATTCTGACTGTGACTGAAGCTCTTTCCACATTCCACACACTGATATGGTTTATCCCCTGTATGAATTCTTTGATGTGAAGTGAGACTGTGGCTGTGACTGAAGCACTTTGCACATTCCACACACTGATAGGGTTTCGCTCCTGTATGAATTCTTTGATGGGAAGTGAGGGAGGAGCTCTTCCTGAAGCTCTTTCCACATTTCACACACTGATAGGGTTTCTCCCCTGTATGAATTCGCTTATGGGAAGTTAGATCGGAGCTATCAGTGAAGCTCTTTCCACATTCCACACACTGATAGGGTTTCTCCCCTGTATGAATTCTTTGATGGGAAGTGAGATGGGTGCTCTGACTGAAGCTCTTTCCACATTCCACACACTGATAGGGTTTCTCCCCTGTATGAATTCGCTTATGGGAAGTGAGATCGGAGTTTTGACTGAAGCTCTTTCCACATTCTACACACTGATAGGGTTTCTCCCCTGTATGAATTCTCTGATGGGAAGTGAGATTGGAGTTATTCTTCAAGCTCTTTCCACATACTACGCACTGATAGGGATTCTCTTCTGTATGAATTCTCTTATGGGAAGTGAGATCGTGGCTGATTCTGAAGCTCTTTCCACATTCCACACACTGATAGGGTTTCTCCCCTGTATGAATTCTTTGATGGGAAGTGAGATGCGAATTCTGACTGAAGCTCTTTCCACACTCCACACACTGATAGGGTTTCTCCCCTGTATGAATTCTTCGATGGGTAGTGAGTTTGGAGTTGTGACTGAAGCTTTTTCCACATTCCATGCACTGATAGAGTTTCTTTCCAATGAGAGTTTGTTGATGGGAAGTGGAATGGGAGCTCTGACTACATCTTTCTCCACACTCCAAATTTTTACGTGGCATGTCCTCTCTGGGGATTTTTTCGTTGTCACCTTTGTTCTCTATTTCCGTTTCATCACAATCTGCAATGGAGACAAAAAGAGATTAGAGCCTCAGGAACAAATGGAGAAGAACTGAAGGGTGTGTGTTCATTACCAGTTGTTTGTCATTAACCAATATATTAATTATGAGATTCTGATGTGTTGTTGAATGTTGCTTTGTTTGATATACAGTAGTGGTCAAAATTATGGAAGCTCATAACACCACTTCTTTTGGAGTGATATCATAAAATCATATATCAATGGGAAGATAATTTAATCAAAAATGCAATTCAACAAAGTTCATTTAATTATCCATATTCTATCAAATGTTATAGCCAAGTAACCAGAGAAAGGAAGCACAATTTGCTTAGGTGGTAAAACATTATAAAATTATAGAAATGGCACAAAAAGTTGACTGGTCACCCAGAAAGCGATGTAAAATTGTAGTATTAAGTGAACGAGGCTACCTTTATGAAGAAATTAGATGAAAGATTGGGAAAAACTTAACCAAAGATGGCCTTTCTATATTTTTGAAGAGGTATAAGGAGACTCAATCATTATAAAATCAGACTGGTAAAGGCAGGAAAGGTGCACAAAGGCAAGTGATGATCGAAGAATGGAGAGACTGTCCCTACATGACAGAAGAAAACCATCTGGGTATATACAGGATGACATGGAGCAATGTACTGTGAAGCTGAGTGCTAGGACTGGTCTAAATGTTAGAATTTTAAGAAAAAAGCCATTGTTATCTCTCAAGCAAAGCTTGAAAAGATTAAACCCATGTTAACTGGACAGCGGAATAATGGGACAATGTTATTTGGAGCATTGAGACCCAAATCTCCTTGCATGGTAGTGATGGCATGAAATACGCAAGGAGAAGAATCAGAGATTTACATCCTTCTTGCATTACACCAACCGTGAAACACGCAGATAGTGTGATGATCTGGGGTTGCATGGCAGCAAAAGGTGTGGGCAGAATATGCGTCATTAATGGGAATGTAAAACGCATCACCATAAAGAAGGCTGATCGCCGAAGAATTGATGCTTTTGAATTATGGTGCTGGAGGAGACTTTTGAGAGTCCCATGGACTGCAAGAAGATCAAACCTCTCCATTCTTAAGGAAATCAGCCCTGAGTGCTCACTGGAAGGACAGATCCTGAAGGTGCGGCCGCAATACTTTGGCCACCTCATGAGAAGAGGAGACTCCCTGGAAAAGACCCTGATGTTGGGAAAGATGGAGGGCACAAGGAGAAGGGGACGACAGAGGACGAGATGGTTGGACGGTATTCTCGAAGCTACAAACATGAGTCTGACCAAACTACAGGAGGCAGTGGAAGACAGGAGTGCCTGGCGTGCTCTGGTCCATGGGGTCACGAAGAGTCGGACACAACTAAACGACTAAACAACAACAGAACGCATCAATTAAATACTTGAGCCCAAACTGAAGCGTTCCGCAGGTGATCTTTACCCAGATACTGAAGCATTTATATTTGATTGTTTGTTTGTTTGCTTTCTATTTCAACAAGATTCAGCTCCATGTCATGTTGCTGCTGTGTGCAAAAGGTGCTTTCAAGATAATCTTATTTCACTGCGGGAATGGCCTGGGAGTAGCACAAACATTAACCCAATCAGAAATCTATAGAGCCGACTAAAGAAACAACCCAGCAACCCAGCAATAAAGCCCAATTAACAGAGACAATAATTCATTCTTGGTTTCACATTCTTACAACTGCAGAACTAAAAACTTGGTTCACTTCATGGGAAGGCGTTGTAAGGCCGTAATGAAAGCGAAAGGTTACCAATGGTTACCAAAGGTTTCACATTTTTTCTTTATGACTGCTGTTCTAATAAATACTCCTTCATAAAAGTCATTGCATTACATTCTTCATTAAATTGTCTTTCCATTGCTCTATAATTTTATGGCATTACTCCACACAAAAGTGGTGTTATGAGACATCAAACCTCAGAAATACACGATTCACAAAAGATTTATACAAGTTTGGCCTCTAGTATAAGTTGTTAATTTTAAAGTTAATGTTCTTTTTATATGGGTTCAGATTATTATTATTTATGTTTCATGATTATATATGTGTTGGAAGCCGCTCAGAGTGGCTGGGGCAACCCAGACAGATGGGCAGGATAGAAATAATAATTACTATTATCACCACAGTGGTACCTCAATTTAAGAACAGTCCTGTTCCAGAAAAAATTATGTTTGTAAACCGAAGTACCACTGTATTACTATTACTATCATCATCATCATCATCATCATCATCACTGCTACTACTACCTGAGATTCCATAAGCCCAGTGTTTCTCTGGGATGAATTTTGTTTGGCCCAGTCATGGCATCCCCTCCATCTCCAATGTTAGTCGTCTCTTTGGTCAACCCAAGACTGACAGGAGCAAAAAAACACACCTGAAGCTACTTATCTTTCCTAACAATTCTGAAGCTCCAGTTACAGATAGGTAGCCGTGTTGGTCTGCCATAGTCAAAATAAAAAAATTCCTTCCAGTAGCACCTTAAAGACCAACTAAGTTAGTTCTTGGTATGAGCTTTCGTGTGCATGTGTATCTGAAGAAGTGTGCATGCACACGAA